TTAAAATCCATTTCTATTGATACCTTGCAGCAATTGATTTAACTAATTGAACAAAATTTTTTAACAGATGGCAACTCTGTTAATGTTTAAACCTAGATATGAACCTTCTCCTCGCCGAGACGAACACGTATATGCGTTCCTACAATCGGACCATGGCGACCTGGAGTCTATCGATGTTAAACTGAAATAGATGGCCTTACTTTGCCATCAGGTGCTTAGCCTTATATAGATTGTGCTGTGGACAGAGCTCTCAAGAAAGCCGCCTATCCAATCTAATCTTGTCTTGTCACTATGGGTGAGTGCCAAAGAGCAAGTTAGATTTATTAAAATGAAAAGTGTTTATGTTTTATTAGGTTTTAAAATCAACAGTGTTTATTGAATGATTTTCAGTAACTGAACTACTTATGAACTTACTTCTACTTATATAGCGTTGAAAACAATATCCAATCGATGACTAACACATTTGGTAAATGTGTCAAACTATTTTGGTTTCAATTGCTTTTGGACCTTCCACTTGGGTTTGTCTTGTGATCATATGTCATCGCATACGCTGCAATGAAATGCAATAAAAGAATGAACGTTAAAGGGTTTATGACCCCAGAACGGTCATATGTCTGTTTGGCTTATCGTTTGGTTATTGTTTCCACGTTTACCTACTTTTGACGAAAGTCACTACACCTTCCCCGTTTGGAAAGCGTGATCATACAAATAGAGACGATTTGAATGATCATGCTGTACAATGGAATTTTGTTCGGGGTGTCAAATGTATTTTATTGTTTAGTTTACTTGCATATGTAGTTTGTAAAAAGATTTTTGTTTTCTTAGGTATATTTATTTATATTTTGACCTTATTGTAAAAGATTGAATTTGGAACATTTACATAGTTTGTATTTGTGAATTTTATGTGATTGTATATTTAAATTTTTATTAATGAGTACAGAACTGTGATTGTTAACAACATGACAATAATAATAATAATGTGTGTAATATTCATTCCTGATTCGTTGTGGTTTAAGATTGGTTCATTATGCTGGTTAATTTTTTCGGCTAACTTTTCTATTTTTTCACCTTGTCTGTCTTTTCCAACCTCGTAACCAGACACGGCTATTAGTATTGCACTAAATGCTTTCTTCCACCAAGACATTATGTATATATTTTTTCAAGATAGTCATAGACTAATCATAGTTCATGATACTTTCTTAGTTCAAATTTTTTTTTTTTTTTGCCTTAGTTTAATGTTTTTAATTAATGTCTTTGTTATAACATTTATTTTGTTGTTTAATACAACTTTCAAGGGATATGCAAAATATGATAAAACTTAATGCTTAATTTTTATTATTTCATTTTAAGTTTTATTTGTGTGTGTGAGTGTACATTCTTGTGTTTTTTTATTTACAATTTTAAAATTTTTTTTGAGTTCTGCCTTAATACTCGTTATTTGGTTTTGCCAATCTTGGACCACGTCCCATGGCGGAGGATTAACTGCTTCTTCTGCTTGGGAGACCTTGGCGTGGAGTACCACTAGCTTCTTCCTCAGTGCAACCACCTTGCCGGCACGCTTGTGTTTTGGTTTTGGTAGCACAGGTATCCTCGTTAGTTTTTCTTCCTGTGCACGGGCCTGGCGTCTCTTATACTCCTCTACGGTTATCGGCCTGGGTTGTGGAGTTGGTGCTGAAGTGTCACCTATTTTCCTGATACGTATGGGCAGGATCGCCATGAAATAGATGGCCTTACTTTGCCATTAAGTGCTTAGCCTTATATAGATTGTGCTGTGGACAGAGCTCTCAAGAAAGCCGCCTATCCAATCTAATCTTGTCTTGTCACTATGGGTGAGTGCCAAAGAGCAAGTTAGATTTATTAAAATGAAAAGTGTTTATGTTTTATTAGGTTTTAAAATCAACAGTGTTTATTGAATGATTTTCAGTAACTGAACTACTTATGAACTTACTTCTACTTATATAGCGTTGAAAACAATATCCAATCGATGACTAACACATTTGGTAAATGTGTCAAACTATTTTGGTTTCAATTGCTTTTGGACCTTCCACTTGGGTTTGTCTTGTGATCATATGTCATCGCATACGCTGCAATGAAATGCAATAAAAGAATGAACGTTAAAGGGTTTATGACCCCAGAACGGTCATATGTCTGTTTGGCTTATCGTTTGGTTATTGTTTCCACGTTTACCTACTTTTGACGAAAGTCACTACAAAACGTTAAGAAACTTTATTTTCCTTGTTTTGATGGAATAATTGGACGTCCTGCCCTTCTATTTACTTGATTTTAAACATTAACAATTCTATATGTCATAACACGTCTTTTCCAAACATTTCGAGTTGAAATATTCATAAAAATAATTTTGGCCGCATAAATCGGCGAAATACCCCTATGTGTGTTAGGAACAATCCTTGGGCCGCTCGGAATGAAGAAAATTCACATTTAAAATGAAAATAATATATTTTTTAATTGCTAATTGCCTTTGTTTTGGTTGCATATGTCAAACAAGACAAATAGAACAAAATATACTACAAAGGGCAAAGCTTTCATGTGATGGGGCTGCCAGACTGTGAGTTGGGGTGTGGTGAGTAATGAAATTCGCCGGGAAAGGTATAGATGTAGGGTGAGTACACTTGTGATTGGCCAAATAGAACAATGAAAATATTTGCGGAACAGTGTTTTGAGAACACTAGTTGGAAAACAGCTTTTATAAATGGGTTAACTGAAGGACATAGGATAGATCTGCCTCGTGTTTAACAACAACCGCATCCACGGTGCACGAACGTATACTCACTTTTTAAAGTGCGGTTATCACAACTTTAAATTAAAATTAAATTAATTAAATTAAATTTAAAGAAACGATGCGATTTTTTTCGTCAAAAAAATAACTGCAGTGTTTTAAAAATCGGGAATCGCAGTTTTGTGTAGGGAGAACGACCCCAATTACACGCGCGAACATCCCGTGGAGACCAACCCGTCCACGACCAGGACCCACCCGAGCAAAAGAAGAGGCTACTTGGGTGGTAGAAGCCCGCTAGTGGAGGACAGGCAACGAGTTGAGGACATGCACCAGTCGAGGTAAGAAACAGTGTCCACTCTCTGGGAGCAGCAAGTAGGCAGCAAGTCCCCCGCCAAGATATTAGTAGAAAATTCTTATTGGAGTAGGTTTTAGTAGTCTGTTTTTTCATGGGTTTTATCCTAGTGTGCAAATAATCAAAGAACCACTCTTTCGGCATCTTCTGAGTGAAACGGTTGTGTTGTTTCTCTCCATATATTTCTGTGTGTGCCTTTTACAGAAGTGACAGTTACTCAATAACGGTTGTATTCCGTTACTTTAATTGCTGGAAAAAAAATTAATTTTTTTTACTTTTTTAATAAATGTGATAGTGATTGAAATTTTGTGCTGAGGGCTGTGGTCCCCATGGGGGTCAAAACCAAACGCAGACTTGAAGATTTTGAGATTTTCTATAAAAGTGCGGTAAGTGGAAAGGTGTCAAAGAAAAAGAAAGTAAAGAAAAATCCATGTGGTGGTGATACACCCCAAGATAATATTGTTTCGAGTGAGTCGGATATGTCATCTGATGAACTCCATACCTCAGCTCAGACCCTGGTGGCTCCTGGGCTCGAACCTAATAACCTCGAACCTACGAGGCTGGAGATAATGTAAAGTTCATGGTTTTGGTGGAAGTTGTACCTGATGCTTCAGGGAAAAATAAAAATGTATATTCAAGTCTTTTCTTTCATGAATTAATTGAAGATTTTGATCTAAGTTATCCCGACGACATGACAATGATGGGTAATGGCCGTGCTAAGCTGACTTTTTGCTGGAAAAAATCTTAAGGCATACATACCAATAACATTCGTAATGAAATTTGGTGTTATTAGACGCATACCAATTACATATTCAGACAGTGACATTCTTTCTGAGATTGAGTATCCGGTTAAGGTGGCATCAGATGAAAGGTTTAAAAGAAAGGAGGACGGTAATCTAGTACCTAGCACTACTATCAAGATAGCATTCAAAGGAGATGCAGTACCAAAAGAAATACGTCTCAATAAATGCATTTCTAGGGTCGATTACTATGTTCCGACTATTAAACAATGTAGGAAGAGTGATTTGTTAGGGCATATTGCTAACTTTTGTAAAGCTACTAGTGCACGCTGCTTGTCATGTGGAAAGTCGCCACCATGTGTACAGGCCTGCGTTGCTTTGATGTGCATTTTGTGTGGTGCTAAAGACCACTCATCCATTAGTACAAACTGCCCTGTTAGAGTAGAGCGTCAAAACATTAAACAAGTTTGTACAATCGAGAACATCTTGTAACGAAGCGTTTTTCTCTGAAGGCCCCGAAACTTCTATATTCTATGCTGGGGTATACTCACCGTGCCAAGGGTCCGTTACAATAAATGTATATTGTGGGGCCTTTGCAAATAGTACTTTATTTAATTATTCTTATCCTCTAAAACGTTTTAATTCTTAATTCTGCTGATGGACGGCGTCGGTGCCACTATGGCGGCGCTCTGCTGCTGTGTGGCGTCGGCGCTACGATGGCGGCGCGCTGTTGCTGTGCGACGTCGGCGCTACGATGTCGGCGCTCTGCTGCTGTGTGGCGTCGGCGTTACGATGCCGGCGCTCTGTTGCGTTGCGAGCAGGTCTCGCCGTTAAGCGCGTTCGCGGTGGACTGTGGCGTGGCTGCGCTCTACCTTTGAAAAGCCAAGCCCTGTATAGTCGCCTACTTACAAGTCATGCGCTATTCTCCGCTACTGACGCTTAGATTTTGGGGCTCCTCTATGCGACGTCGGCGCTACTCCGTGTCCGCTGCTCTAGGCGACGTCGGCGCGGTGCTGGTGGGCGAGCTGGTGTCACCGTCGCGCGGCTTCATGGTTGACTATGGGGTGGCGGCGCTCTATCTTTAAACAGCCAAGCCTTGTATAGTCACCTATGTACAAGTCGAGAGCTATTCTCTAGTAGCTGTGCGTTCACGACCACAGCTCGCTGCTGACTAACTCGTATGTTGCTGAGTCATTTCTTTATAGGCAGTGCTCTTCGTGTTGCTGAGTTGTGTGGCTACATGTTGCGTTGCTATGGTGACAGTGTAGCCAAGGAGTGTTGATACGGTCTCTCGTGTTGGCTGGCCGTGTCGACGATGTTGCTGTAGTCGTTGTTGTTGGTGTAGGGATATGCGCTAGTGTGGGCTAAATTCCGCGTATATTTAGTCCTCACATTTTGGCCCCCCCCCCTCCCCTCTTCGGCGGGCGTAAGGCTTGGGATGTTTCGGACATATACGTGCGCCCCACCTGTATATGTTTACTAGGTATTCTCCCGATCGGAACCTCACACAGGAGGCGCAGGATCCCTCTGTGATGCCGCGAATAGCCCTCCGGATCCTCTCGGCGACCTCCGGGAAGTTGTCCAGCGCTGGTCCGTCGACTTCTTCGGCGGGAATGACCGTTTGTTCCCTTGGTGGTGACGACGGGCTTCGCGGTGGTGGCGTTGCTTCGGACGCTCTGGTGCTCGGGGCGGTGGCTGTTCGAGTGGCACTACCTCAGATGGCGCTGGCGTGTGTGGCGGCGGAGGTAGCGATGATGTTGCCTCTGGAGGTTTCGGGGGTCGTGGTGGTGGTGGCGGTGCTTTAGCTCGTTGAGCTGTCGCTGGGCGAGCTGCTGGTGGACGTAGTTTTGTCCGGGTCCATTGCGCTCCCGTGCCTGGTTTCCTGATCGGGAACTACCCTCCTCACCGAGAAATCGGCTGCCCCGGCGGCGTTGTACCTGTCATCTCCCGTAGGGCTGACGGTCGGGGAGTCGGCCAGTGTGCGCCGGGCGACTTCGTACGCAGCGTGCGCTGCGCTGGTGAACGCTGCTGTAGCTTGTACGGCGGCCGAGCACGCGGCGATGGCCCGTCGTGCGGTTTTTTGGGCTGCGGCGGCGCGTGCTGCTGTAGCCTGTGCGGTGTCGGTATTTTCGACGTGGGTGCCCGTCGTCATGCTGCACGTGGCCGCGTACCTTGCGGCTGCTTGAGCGGCGATCGCGTGTATCGACAGAACGCGGGTCATTTGCGCGTGGATGGCGACGGCGTGCTTGCTGGATGCGCGTGCGACGGCGGTCCGCCTAGCAGCTATCTGCGTCGCCATTGCTTGCTGCTGCCTGCGCGTCTTTCCAGTGTCGTGGGTGAGCGCCGCGTACATCGCGGCGGCTTCAGCGCGTGCGCAGGCAGCGTCCCGTAGGCCTATGGTCGGCCCCACGCCCAGCATCTGAGTGCGCAGTCGCTTCGGGTTTTCCTCGGGTACGTGTTCCCGCAAACGCTTCACACTATTCTCCATTTCGCTTAACTCTTCCATATTCATCGTTGATGGTTTCCGCTTTTGTAAAATTCTTTCGCTTATTCACGTGTGGTTGGTTCGCTGGTTGACGATCGAATGACGGTTTCCACTGATGCGACGGTCTTGCTAATTTTATTTATGTTATTTCAAATTCTCTTTTTTTTTGAGTAAAAATTTTATTTAGTTTCTTTTATGTTTTTCTACCCCCTTTTCCATTTTGGTAAGTTGTTGTGGTTTCGGCCGTGATGTACGCCTTCAGTTCGGCAAGGTTCGCCGTTCTTGTCCTCCCGCCGTCGGTTTTTCGTAGCTCCACTATTACCGGGGAAATGTATCGAAGTATCTGGTGGGCCGGCCTATTTTGGGACTAGTTTTGCCGCGAAACCCTCTGCCGCTTTAGATAGATGGTGTTTTTTGGCGAGGACCAGCTCGCCGATTTTTGGGTCCCACTCCCGGCGACGCAGGTTATAGGGACGCGCTTGGTCGGTCGCGGCACGTTCCGTATTTTGTCTGACGATCCTGAATGCTTCCTGCAACCTTGCGGATTTTTCCTCGGCGGTCGGAGCTATTTCGCCTGTTCCGACATTTATTTCGTCGAAGAGTGCTCCCGGTAGTCGTAGTTCCCGTCCTTGCACTAGGGACGCTGGGCTGTATCCTGTGGGGGCTGTGACGCTCGTGTTTACGGCGAGTGTGATTTCTGGGAGGAGGTCATCCCACCGCTTATGTTGTGCCTTCGTAAGCTGGGCGATAATACGCTTTACGGTTCGGTTGGCACGTTCCGTCCGGTTTTCTTGGGGTGTGTACGGGGCCGTAAATTGTTGGCGTATCCCCACCTCCTGGAGGTAACGCTGCCAAAGCGTGCTAGTTAATTGTACACCATTGTCCGAGAGGAAGACCTTGGGTACGCCAAATCGGGCGAGGGTACGCTGCGGCCTGTCTCATGGGGACCAACCCGACCCACTTACTAAATCGGTCGAAAAATAACAGTAGCATGGCGTTCCTGTATATGCTGTTTCATGTAAGCGGCGTATATTCCCGGGTTGGTACGCACCTCATCGACACGTCTGTGCGACCACTTGCATCGAGATTCCGCCACTGTTGTTCGTAGTAGCGTTTCAAGTGCTTGTCGAGACAGTGCGTCCGCGACTAAGTTGAGTCCCTTGCGGTACTCTATGTTGAACGCGTATTGTGGCAGCTCCAGGGCCCATTGCGCTATGCGACCTGAGGGGCTTTAGATAGAATTTGTCATGTGGTCGGGTATGACGTTGAATCGGTATCCTTCCAGATAGGGTCTCATTTTGCATATTCCCCAGACTCCTGCTAAGCATTCCTTTTCCGTGGCCGAATAATTGATCTCTGCATTATTAAGCTTCCGACTCGCGTATGCGATTACTCGTTCACCGCCTTCCAACTCCTGTGTGAGTACTGCCTCTAGGTCGAAATTGCTCTCATCCGTCTGCAGGGCGAATTTCTTACTGAAGTCTGGGCACGCGAGGATGGGGCTCTCGGTGAGTTTTCTCTTGATCACGTCGAACGCTTCCTGATGTTCAGTTCCCCACCTCCAGTGTTTGCCCTTCTTCAGGAGGGCGGTGAGTGGTTGGCTTAGCGTAGCTAAGTCGGGTACGAACCGGCGATACCAGGAAGCTATCCCGAGGTATTGGCGCACCTCCTTCACGTTGGTCGGTGGTTTTAGTTCCTCGATGGCGGCGACTTTGTCGGGGTCGGTGAGTATGCCCTTGTCACTAATGACGATTCAGTGCTCTCCCACCGTGGCTACTCCGCTCACAGTCTCGAATTTTTGCAGTTCTTCGGCTAGAAAGTCGCGTATGCGGGCTGCCTCATCTTCGTGGTTGGGGTCTTCGTGTTCTATTCTGTCGACCCTCTCCCTTGTGGACCGTCGTCTTGTATGGCGCCTCCCTTTTCTGCTCCTTGGTGGGCGATGGTTCGTCATGGCGGGTGGTTCGGGGTCCTCGGTGCTTGGTGCTGGCTCGCTTGGTGTCGTCGACGTGGGTTGTATAGGTGGTTCTGTCAATACGACGCGGTGTCCACCGCAGGACACTGTAGCTCCCATTTCCCTAGCGTGTCCAGGCCCAGAATGATGTCGTCAATAGCTCCAGGCATTACATGCAGAACGGCGTTGTGGATCGTTGCCTAAGGCGGACTACGGTCCTCACGGCTTCTGATATTTGGTTCCTGGTGCCATCGGCCATAAGGATTCCTATGGCCACAGTTATCTTTTCGCCTCTCCCCAAGCTAACCAATTTCTCCGCCACGCTGGCGGACACGAAACTTCTCGAGGCACCTGTGTCGATAACGGCTTCCGCGGGCGCTCCACCCAGCAAGATTAGGGTGTAGAGGCGGCCGCGTTCCCGGCTCAAAATTATTGGTTGTCCGGCGCTGTACCCGGCGACTTCATCGAGCCGGTTTCCTGTTGAAGCCCTCTCTCGTTTCCCTGACGTCGCCGGCAGCACTCTATTGTCCGTATGTCGGCCCGGCCCTACTCCCAACACAGCTTCCGTGGGTTACGGCCAGGGATGCCGTTTGGGTATAAATAGATCCAATTGGATACATTTTTAGACGAATATTTGCGGGATACTTATTTTTTCCTGTCGGTATAAATGTGGATACTTTTTTAAATAGGCCAAAATTTTATATTTTCTATAAAGTTTTTTTCGTTCAAAAATAGATTTTCATTAATGACGTTTTCTAAATGTTATAAAAATCGCAACTTAAGCGTGAAATTAGAGCATTTTATTTTTTGTGAATGAAGCAATGAACATATGAAGAGATCTCACCAAAGCAGTGTAATAAGAGCTTTAACAGACGGCAGCGTTGATCCGGATCAACTCGGGAATTAACTGCAGTTAATCCGGATTAAGTCCCAGTTAATCCCGATCAACTCGGGAATTAACTGCAGTTGATCCGGATTAAGTCCCAAATAATCCCGATCAACGCTGCCGTCTGTTTAAGCTTTTAGGAGCAATTGTTTAGTTAGCTAAAAAATGCTTTAAGCAAGATCTTAATATATATATATATAAATTAAATATATCTCTTTCATATCACATATCTTCATTTGTTAATATAAAAAGAAATAAGATCTCAATGTAGTTTAAAACACACTGTTTAAAAACTAAATTTGATTTATTTAAGTTAATTTTTACAAATTTTACTGAAAAGACTTTAAATACACTCTATTTTTTTTTTGTTTATTTGCGCATATTAAGAAAGGTAACCATTTTCCTCTTTTAATGTGTGCGAATTTGCACACCGTGTAATAAAATTAAACACTGCCTGTTTACTTTAACATACCAAATTTGTCGCAGAGCGCAAAATAACACATAAAATGTTTAAAATAGAGTAAATGTAAGCCCCTAATGTTTATTATTTGCAGGAAATGTATTTTTAGTTTCAAAATTTTTGCAACTGAACATCTTATACGTATGTATATTTATACAGATTCCTGCTGAAAAATAGATATTTTTCAGTAGTAGTTTTACACACACTTATCATAATGTACAGGTACAAACGTAACATATTACTTACTATTTTTTATACTTACTTTGCAAAATACTTATGTATAAAAGATGTAATTTATAAATTGAAATTACAAATGTTTGATTTTATGAAATATAAAGATATATATACACGTATCCCAAGTCCTTAGGATGGGTTAAATTATGTCTTTTTCTTCAAAATGTTTGGTTTTCTTACAAATTATGAGATGGATACGTAAAAAAAGAAAATTGGATACATTTTTGGCTTGGTCGGTGATACATTTTCTTGGGACGGCGCGGTAACACTGGTTACGGCACCTTCGTGCAAAGTGTTCCTCTTGACCACACCTCCTGCATGTGTTGCCGCTATGAAAAGTTTGAGGCGCGGCTCTCGAAGGGGGTGGGGTTCTCAATTCGATGTTATACGGTGCTTCTCGCAGATGCTGATCCATGCGTGGTGGCGGTCGTTGCTGAAATGCTTGTCTCGGATGGGTGGTGACGTAATGGGGTCGTCACCGACGTGCCTAGCTATTTCTCGTCGGGCGGTTTCTGCGGCCCTCCGATGGCTTTCGTAGATGCTTTCATATTCTTCCGCGAGCGTGACGAGTTCCATCAAAGTGTTAAAATCCCGCCGTTTGATGTGCAGCAAGTATTCCGGGTGTTACGAAAAATCCTTTCCAGCCGTTTTTCGTTACTGTGAACCGCGGGTCGCATCAGATTTTTAATTGCGATCACGTATCTTTGAATTTTTCTCACGGGCCCTGCCTCCGTTGCCTTATGTCGTCAGGAAATCAGGTTTGAATGACGCCCAGTTGGTCCAATGTTCGTTGTTATTGCGGTACCAATGGAGGGCGCTGCCGCTTAGCAATTCAGGCATCGTCTTTGGTAATAGTTCTACGTTTAATGCGTATATGTCGGCCAGCTCCTCTAATCGTTCTGCAAACGCCAACGGTTCGCGTCCTCCATCGTATCTCACCGACCACTTTACAAGGTCGATGATGGGCGCAAAAGTAACGGTAGACACATGGTTGCATGTGTTGTGTGTCTACAAATAATTAGTAAGTAAGGTCAGTAATGTAAACACACATGTGACTGCAATATTATACAATAAGAATGCAAGCAAAAAAGAGTTATGACTCATATATATGTCACAAATTGGGCAAAGCGTTAGCGGCCACTTGCTTTGTAGAAACGATCAAATTGCAGCTTGCACATGTGGGTCACTTTTGTGAAGACATTTGTAATGTTGTATTTTCTGAAGACGATGAACTCTGTAGAGCAACTGTGAAACGATTGGTTTCACAATTGATATTTCTCATTATATGAGAAGTCAATATAAATTGAATTAGAGTAAAAGAAAAGCAATGAGACTTTACTACAAGAACATTTAGAAAATGCAAAACTACAAAAAAAAA